ATAAATAATGATCCCTCAATAAGGAACCAAATGAATAGGAATGAGCATAGGTTTATTTCAAACTTTTGCAGCAGAATATGGCTCCTCTGATCTCAAGGTACAACAACAATTGTCCAGCAATGACGTTTGAAGATTCTTATTTCATATTATCAGAAGCAAACATTATCTCCCACTTCAGTTGCATAATACCCTGCCATTTCCCATGTATTTACCACTAACAATCTCAAGGTAGCATTAACCCAGAATCACTCACTATTTTATCCAGATGTTACTTTCCATTTCAACTGCCCATACGCAAGTGCATGGACATAGACCAAAATAATGAGATTGTACTATATCCAGAGAGATTCAACATAATAAAGCATATCAAAATGCAATTTCTGGTCCTGTAGAAGAAGTGGAGGACGTTGTAAGCAACGCCAATTTAGAGCTATTTAGATTTCAACATACCAAGATCTTCTGCTTTCTTCAGTTTCTCATTTATCATTTCCTGTATGCGGGGATCTGGAGTAGATGCAGGCAAGGGTGCCAACTGTGGAGCATTCTGAAGTGGCTGCGGCAAAGATGCTCGATCTTTGTTGAATGCATCCAAAAGAAGCATTGACTGCCATTGGATAAAAGAAACTATGAGTCCTGACCATACACACTACCATGTGAACTGTTGAGTATTGCAATGTCATTAATTTTTGCCAAGTTGACTGAAGGGCAAAGTAAAATTCAACATCTCCAAGTTCCGTACCTGTTTGTCTGCTCTCTTAGTTCGAAGTTCTTCAACTTCTTCCAAAGCTCGAATTTTCATATCTGTCTTACCTTCAAGATCTGCAAAGAAGTAAGATCATTCAAGAACTTGGACAACTCAAAAAGAAACATTCAGTTTTTTCATCAGATAGAAAATTCCACAAAATAATTAGCACTTCACATTTCTTTATTTTTGATAACCGTGGTGTCCTGGCCAGCTTACACACTTCGACTAATTCCACGGGATACCTACCACCTCCCACCAACAACAGGTACCAGGTAACTCTGTCCACCAAGGCTAGGACGGGAAGAATCACCTAGTGTTTTTTGTCTCAATTGAGTTTTGAACCACTTCAGAGTTCTCAACCACTTCATTGACCACTAGGCCACAACCTTGGGTGCAATTAGCACTTCACATTTTGATACTTTGAAATCACAGTTTGATCAAATTTACCATGACTCATAGGTTAATTGACACCAACCTAGATTCAAGAATGAAACTAAAACCCATTCCAGCTTAAAATTATTAGACAAAGTAACGATGAATCTTATAATATCACCAGCAATCATCAAGTATATTTTACTCCCTGAACCTCTATATGCTCAAAGAGGTATAAGATTGACAAGCTGACTCGTCATTTATGTATATGCAACAACAAAAAAAGTAAAATAAGAGCAACCTAACAATGGGAAAAAACCAATCAAGACTACATTGTCATGCTTGCACGACTTGTAAAAGGTACTTTCACGCGGCATTCAAGTAATCAGCAATATCTAAAAGAACTTACCATGTATGTCAGCTTCTTTCAACTTTTCTTTAATTTGCTTTGACAACTCATCAATCTCCGGAGTCTACAATTTAGACAAGTTGAAAACACTTGTAACAATGACTAGTATACAAAGGAAGGGAAAAGAGGAAGTACCAGTGACCAACAAAAGAAAATAATGAGCTTGGAGCCCAAACTTGACAATTACCAGGGTGACTTCAGATACTGATATGGCAATAGCAGCTTTGGCATCCTCCTCATCAAGCCTTTTAAGGGCTCTAGTTATTTTCCTGTCACACTCAACAATCAGCCTATCTATTAAGTCCTCCAAGTCCCTGTCATAGTTATCCTGACCTTTTGCTTTTGCTTCTTCATATCTTAGACAAGGTTAAGTTAAGACAAGTGATACTGGATTTTTACTGATTCAAGAAGCAACATTGACCAAAGAATACAACATCTCTTGTCCATTTATTTGTTTATTTTGATGATGACATCTCCTGTAGATTTCTCTTTTTTTCTGTGGTTTAGGTAGAATTCAGGCTGGCTCGACTATAAAGCCACTAAAGCAATGGCTTGGGTCCCCGACATTTAACAGGATTGACAGAGTTTGAGGAGGAGAGAAATGATCTTCAGATTGAAATCCTTGTTAAAAACAACCATAACATTTAACAGGATTCAAGTTGATCACTCACTTCCAGCTACTAGGTAGCCTGTCAGTCCCTAATTATTTTTTTATGACCTCCCACTAATATCGCAACAGCTTCTATCATCTCCAAGAAAACAGATAATCTAGTTAAACAGCCTGTGACAACAGCTACCCTATCTAGCATATGTAAAGACATAAGAACACTTTTTTACTTAATAGCCCAAAATGCCTTGCCGTGATATTAATTCTCCAAATTATTAGGGGCACAAAACATGAGTATGAAACACTTCGAAAATCAAAGTATACACATCAAAGAAGGATACTCTTTTCTTAGAGGCAATGAATGCACCTTAGGGCATGCCCCCATATCCATTTTCTGCATATCAGGAAAGAAAGTAAAACAAAAAATCAGAGCAAAAAATATACAGTCAAACAAGAAATGAAGAGGGAGAAGACCTGGGACAAAACTGAACCACTCCAACACCCCTCCCCCTACCCACCCAAACAAGTATTTTCTTTAGTAGATATTTCAAATTCAACGATTTAATATGGATAGCATGTGAGTTGACTCTTTATTTTTTTTTTGACAAAGGTAACAGATGTGAGTTGACTCTTTAATGCAGACTGGTTTCGCCTTATCAATAAGAATTGACTAATTTCACTAGATAAAGATTATTGCCATTAAACTAAATAAAGCTTGATACTAGAGGCGCAATATTATCATTTTTTGTCCTACAAGTATTGAGCATTACTGATTATCAACTTGTATTTCACTGGTTCACATTTTCATACTTGTAAGCATTTATCAAAGTAGGAATCAAGAACAGGGATAGCTTATGAGGGCATAGGTGGTGATGGAAAGGAAGTCCAAGAAGTGCTTTCCTCGAAGTTCTACATTTTGAGCCATAAGATTAATGCTAGTCGCCCAGGTGTAAGAGATGCAAGTGTGAAGAATTTCATAGACATAGGCTTCAGAAGAAACCTGCAAGACTGAGAGATGGATGAATTCCACAAATTTATGGAGCTTCTATACAAGCAAGCATTGACAGAGTAAGATGTCCTGTAGTAATGTGAGCACTGAATGAGAACGTTCTAAATGATGTCTTCAACCACAAGCTATAATTGGGGTCACAGAATTCCCACATCATTCCATATGGAACCCATGAATTCCAAGAAAGGATTGTTTCTTCACGCAGTTGACTACTAAAGGGTGATTCTAATAGCAAAAAGCTTGAGGCAAAAGAAAATTACACATAGCAGTCGGTGCCAAATGGGTAAATTATAGGGATTGAATCACCTGGGTTTCCTCCAATTTTGTTCCAAAAGCAGAGTGTTCTCAACCCCCATCTTTGGATAAAGTTTTCCAGCCAAAACTTCTTATTATAATTTCATTTCAGAAGTTATAGAACAAAATAGTTGTTTCAACTTCAAAAGGCACCAAAAATGCATAATCTACTTATACACTTAGTCAACAAATAAACTAGCCTAGATGCACAGTAGAGGTTCTCCTTTGATGTCCTCCTCTAAATCACACCAAATTCAAGGGCAAAGCTGCACGTAGTACATATTCACTCTCCCCTACCCCACAATAGTCCGAGAACACTTCATTGCACCAAGTAAGATCTCTATAGAGCAAAAATATTTAAATCTAAGCCTCCAACTAATTCTCGACAACCGATATAAATTTTTTCAGTTACCAAAAAAACAAATAACCTAGGGATTCAAATACAAACACACACATACGAATTAAAATGTAAACATATATAGATAGAGAGAGCTCTATGGTATTTGTGTATACATTTCACTCTCCCCTACCCAGTAATAGTCTGAGTAAACTTCATTGCACAAAATTAAGATCTCTATATAGCAAAACTATTCAAATCTAAAGCTTCAACTATTTTTCGACGCCTAAATGAATTTTTTTCAATTATCCAAAAACAACACTAAATAACCTAGGGATTCAAACACAAACACAAACACGAGGAAACAGGTAAACGGAGAAATAGATAGAGCGGTGTTAACTTTTACGTACAGTGAGCTGAAAGAGTTCGTGAGGGCAGAGACCGGAGAGATACAGACGGCAAACTTCACGGTCGTAGTACTTCCGATCAACCTCCGTCACATCGCCGTTCCGGTTAGCTCCCATTAACACATCCAGTTGCTTCCTTATGGCGTCCATTGACGATGAACGCTTAAAATTCGCTGCTGAGTTCAAGCTTAGGTTTGCTCTCTATCTATGTAAGGGCTTTTTTTCCTCTTCACTATTTTGTCCTTGGAAGCTTTTTCAGTTCTCACAGCGTTTTTTATAGGGTTTGCCAAATTGGTCCTTTTACTTTTTCATTTTAATTTTATCAACTTTGATCTAAATAAAGATTATTATTGAAAATTAAAACCCCATTTAGCCAAAAGGATTTTTCACCCAAATACAACTCGAATACACCAAAAAAAAATAATCTTATTTTCACTTTCACTATATATTTTTTCTTTTTAATTTATATTAAAATAACACTATTTAAATTATAGTATTTCTTTTTTTGGAAAAACTGTATTTTTGCCTACATGAAATAATTACCATTAAATTATACCCGCTACAATCCTTACATGGTGCATTTGATAATTTTTTTGGTAGAACAAAGAGAATTGTGTTAATCAAGATAGGATATTTAAAAAAATACATATTTTAATTAAATAATATTATTGATCAATAGTTTAAGTCAAAATCCATACATACAAGCCGAAAATAATACTGTGACATGCGCTTAACCCACACATTATGCCTCTTCCAATTAGACCAGATCTCAGGGGCCAAGGTGAACTAGGGATTATACATCAGTTGCCAACTTGCCATATAATGACCAAATTATTTTAGATTGCCCAAGATTGATTCATCAAAATACAGGAATAAGAAGCAAGAACTCCTTTACTCCAAAATAACTTGTATCCTGTCACCCATTGTATCCTGAAAATCCAGCAATTGTTTCCCACCCTCTTCTAAAGTTGCCTCATCCAACAGAGACTTGATGTTTACACCTACCAAAGCTGTATAAAAAAAAAGACAGAGAAATTGAACTTTTCAGAAATGTGTTCATAAGATTTGACTTTCAAAAGACATCACCAACAACTTAAAATAACAAACATACCTGGAACTATGTTTGTGATTCCTTCCAAAAACCCAGCCTGCGGAAAAGAGACAATTAAGCGTGCAAAATATTGGAAAAACTAATAAACTTGATGCAGTAGATAATGTGCATACAGTTTCATGCGCACTAAAATATAGAGGATGGGGTTCCATATTCATGTAAAGTCAAGTTCAAACTATGTTACAGAACCAAGACAGCCTAGAGATTGATCATGCACACACGTGAACCTTAAGAAAGCGCATAATGCTAAAGATATCACAAATATAACTCTAAATTGAATTAAACAGGCACCTCATATATTCTCTTGTGGATACCTCGCGCAAGAATCACAACATTAATGAAACAACAAAAAGGTTCAGAAGTTAAAGCATATGAGTTGGACCTTCTTCAGTTAAGAAATGGCTCTGCTGCACTCCTTAGGAACTCATAGCTGTTTTTGCACAAGTGATTATACCCCCTAACCCACCCCAAGAAAAAAAACGGCTCCAACAAAATGGTTGAAACATGGTTTGGCACCAAATACCAATATCAGTTATTCAAAACTAAGGAATTATTCTCTCTTAAAAATTCAAATCTTGATAATTTGAAACTATATATCTTGACAAATTATCGAGATTTGAGTTTTGATAATTTGTCAAGATATTGAAACTTAGAATCTAGAACTCAGTATATTTGATATCAAAACTGAGTCTCTTACCACATAGCTTATAACGTAGATAAGAATGCATCCCTTAAATCTGAAGCATTTTACTTAATTCTTGGCCCACCAAAGAGTCAATATCTCTAGCCTGTTACTATCATAAAAGCCCTTGCTTGAGTCCAGCAGAACAATTTGAGTCGGCAGACCGATGTTAGCATTCCTTTTAAAAAGAAAAAAATAAGCAGACTGTGGGTGCTAGCATTGCAAGGCTTCAAACAACGAGGCTTCAAAATGATTTACCTAAACTGATATCTATAAAAAATTAGGAGTTGCTCTTTCAAATATTCATTGTTAAACCTCAAGACAATATCAACTATGTCTATGATAGTGTGATCCCTTCATCATGCATCATAAACAGTTAAATAGTTTCTTAAAACATTTATTGTAAATAGTTTTTAGCTCACTAAGTTCACATACGTAATAGCTGAAAGACAAAAAATAGCTGAGGAGTATAACTTACAGGAATTCTGATATCTAGCTTTTCAAATCCATCTTTTCCAGTAATCTTTACTCTCAATTTCCGAGACCAGGCCATTGAGAAATTTCCTTTCTTACCCTCACCAGAAAATTTGTCATACACCTCAGGTATCAATACCTCAACAGGATTCTCTGGTATTTGACTCCTCTGCTCTCTATCAGCTTGGATGCCGGGTTGAACACCATACTCATTGCTGTTTGATGAGAAATCACCTGATATTTAAAATGTGAAAGCAAGGTAAAATGTCTTTGGATCAGAATTAAAATAATCTGACAAGATCTGAATCCAAATTGTCTTTTCAAATAATTAGAAAGCCTAAATTGACGGCATTGCTCACCTTTACGAGAAGGAAGTTGACTGCTTGTTGTTGCATAACGCTTCTCTTCTTCATAGTAGGTATTGAAACCTAGGATTTCTTTTAGCTCTTCAAATGAAGGCATGCTACCCGGCGATGGTATCCGACCTCCTTTAATGGCAGACAATGCATCCTGAAGATGTTAGTAACGAGTTAACAAATCAACGTTTTTTTGGTAAATGTTGTGCAGCAGAAATTTTTTTGGCAAGCTGTCATGGGGTCTATATCTCAAGCCAGTAGTTGACAAGTGAAGAATTAGTCTTTTCTACTAAAAACTGATTATGTAGGGAGCAATCTAGCTATTTCTGTTTCAAGTCTTGTTTTATATACATTCCGGAGAAATTGCAGGAAGAAGCAAAAAGAACATAGAAAATAGAAACAATACTAAGAAACCAATGACCGACTGCATGATGACTTACTCATTGAAGCCCTTCCAAGCCTCAGTAAGATATGCTTGATATGAGGATATAGAACAAAGAAAGTTAAGTGCAACATCAATTGCCTTTATAAAGAGTCCCTTAGATAAAGACATCTCTTCACATGTTACCAGATACTTCTTCAATGGTAGAGAAACTGGGAAAGCAAGGGATTTGGATTGTTTTTGCACACTCAAAACCACAAACTACATAAACATTTACTAAAGCTTTATATCCTCTGCATCTTCTTTATGCCAATCAATGAATCAACTTACTTTATCAAAAAAAAAAAAAATGTTATAGCCTCTCACGGAATAATAGCCTGCTGCTTATGTACCTCGTTCTCAATGCTTGCTTCACTTAGTCCAAAAACTACAACTTTGCACAGATAAGAAACTTTGAGATCACTAAATTTTAACGAAAAGAGAAAAAAGAAGGAAGAAAAGATGTTCCTCAAGTAGGGAAACAGAAGGGGCAATTTGGTGGTAAGTGATTTCCTTCCTAGGGAAGATATTCTCATGAGATCACCGTCATACTTGCTATATAGGGTGGGGCAAAGGAATTTCTGGGTTGGTTTGATCTATAGCCAGCAAGTGTATTGTTTTTATGTGTATACTTCCAGGATGCGTGCCTAACTATAAAACCTGAATGAATAAGTAAAAATTCTGTAGGAAAAGGATAATATGAAGTACAAAATCTAACCTGCATTGCACCGATTGATACCCCAATCAAGGAAAGTGGATATGCCACAAGTTTGTATCCAAGTTCCTCAAGTTCAATAGGAGTGAATATTGGTGTTTTACCACCACCTTCAAGCATATTTGCCTGGATGCAATTGTAAAAGCTCTATCAGAAAATTTTACACCAAATCAATGCTGAAAGTTCCTCCAGTATAACAAAACTCAAAGCCCTGATCATGAGTACAAAGGCATAAGGACGCCACCGAGAAGAATATATACACTACATAAAGCTTCTTCTTTTTTTTTTTTTTTTTTTTTTTGAGGAATAGAATATCATTGAAAGGGCATCAGGAAGATGCCATATAACAAAAGATAAAAGGCATGTCAGCGCCAGCACAAAAGACAAAAAGACATTTTTAACTCCAAGACAAGTTTCCCTATGCTAGAACCAGTGAGCTAACAAAATCAAAAAAATTGTCAACACTATGAGCAGGTGTAAGATAGTTCCAACAGAACAAACTAACTAAAGATCTACCTTTAAGAGAATGTTCTTTTTCTTTTTTTTTTTAGAATGAAGCTTTTAGAGAATGTGTTGGAGTTGATATTTCAAGTGGAGCTTTCTAATTAGAACAATATAAACATGCTAGTCAATGCAAAATCTGAAAAGAAGGCATACAAGCTTCGGAACCAGTGGATAGACATCACAGAAAGCTTTCATCTCTTCTTTGGAAGCAAGAGCATCTATGAACAGAACATCAGCTCCAGCATCAGCAAGAGCACGTGCCCGCCAAAGGGCTTCTTCAAAGGAGACTGCTTGGCGTGCATCAGTACGTGCCACAATCACAATGTCAGATCCACTTTCTTTTCGAGCATCAACAGCCGCTTTTATTCTCATGATTGCTTCCTCCCGAGAAACAACTTTCCTGCCACGTGTGTGACCACATGCTTTGGGAGAAACCTTCAAAAACAGCATTACACGCGATTAAGTCCAAAAACAAGGTGGAGGTAAGGGAAAGGAGATCCACAACAAATACGAATTTCAACTATATTCTGTAAGACCGTTAACTTTTGACATAAAATTAACAAAAAGAACAAATAACAGGGAGAAAGTATTAGTGATACCAAAAAAACACAAAGAACAAGGAGGAAATACTTTATTTATTATTGGATGTACAAAAGTATTTAGATAAAGGCAGAGACAATGTATAATACATGAACTTTGAGGGTTAAAATTATGATTCAGTGAATTGCAGTTTTGCTCATTGCTATGAAAGTTCTGCCTAAATAAAGAACACCAATGAAGAGTCAACCACCCCTTAAATTGAAGCCGTAATACTTAGTCATATGTGACATGAAGATAAATAGAACTACAAATGCCTTGCACACGGGGACATTTGTTGACCAAGTGTGTGTTCCAAAACAAATCAATAAGATTAAACTTCTATTTGCATGTTAATTGCTTCTCCTTATTTAAGTCCTAAAGAAGGAAAAGTGGTCCATCTCTTATAGCATGTACAAAAGCTAACAGTCCACTATAGAAAAATCATTCAAGTTTTGCAAGAATGTAAAATTATATTCTCTACTATGAAACCTAAAACACTGGCATCCTAGAGTGCATGCTTAGACTTGTAATTAACATCCCCAAATACTTGCACTTTGTGAGATGCCTCGTTTGAAATAAATGAAGTTAAGGCATCAAAATCAAGATATTAGTACCTACAACCAAGTCATATCTAAAGTAGATTGGCTTCTTTTACTTAGTTACTAGACGTTTCTAAATACAAGTGGAAATATTTTCTTCACATGAGTGGTAACTGGTAAGAGATAGAAACGGAAGGAAGAGGATGAAGACTTATTCATGACACTAACTCAATAATCAAAAAAGAAAAAAACACCTTTTGGAAAGAGGGATGGCAGAAAGAAGAAGGAAAATGGTGGAGATAGTTAAAGATATCCAGTTCTTTCTGTTTGGATTGAATAGGAAGTGAGGAATGACGAAGTCTGAACTCATTTGTTTTCTCATTCAACTAAAGAAGTGAGCCCAATAGAAGTTACATTCTTTTATATAATTTTCCTTGCAAATCATACGCATGAAAGGAAAATTCTAATACTCTGCATTCCTTTCTGTTCCCCCCTCTCAAATGAAAGTGAAAAAAAACAAAACCATTACATGAAGCTGTATATGTGGTGTAGATCTATACTCGTGGAATTCCAAAAATTTCCCAAGTAGAAAAAATCTCTTGGAGATGGAGTTCAGATGTTTAAAGGGAGACATGAGCACGAAAGTTCTCTCAGATGATGGCAAATGCTCTTAAACGATACAACCATATAGACAAGCTGAAAATTAAATGGCACTTCCGTTGGCAATCCAGTGGAAATCAAGAAGGACATTATCGATTTCTGTAGGAACTTATAAAGGGAAAATGAGAATTGGAAGCCACCCTTCAAAAGAGACAGCAAATTACAGACTGAGGAAAACGAATGTGTTAACACCATTGCTAGAGGAGGAAATGGAAAACATTATAAAGAGTTGCAAAAATGAGCAAGAATGATCAAGCAACAGTAGAGGGTAAGAAAGCTTGACACACGCAAACCTGATCTTCAAGGATTATTCCCCCAAAACCTGCTCTAATATATCCTTTCACAGTTCTCTTGACATTCATGGCATTACCATATCCATTATCTCCATCCCCAATTACTGGTATGGACACTGCTTGTGTGATCTCTCGACCTTGAGCCACCATCTCTCCGTAGGAAATTAGTCCTGCATCTGGCAGTCCTAACCGTGCAGCAGATATTCCAAAACCTACAGATGTTCTCCAGATATTAGCTAACAAAAGAACACATGGGAAGTATTTGGCAAACTCACTATAACTTCATTCTTAGTTACATCAGAAGAACGAAAAACTAAAACATTGAAAGTTCTAATACAACACCTTACTTAATTTCCAGTGCGTATAGTCTGTAGAGACGAGGCACACCTCAACGCCTACACAAGCTCTACCAACAGCAGAAGGGTTTAGACTAACTAACAACATTATATGGAGCCATAAACCAGGTAGTATGCATAAACCTAACAAGAACTGAGGCTAAAGAGCTTAGAAATTCTTTTAGTTCCAGAATTAACTTTATAGCAGAGAGTCTCGCCTTTGGCTTATTTCATGGCTTCATATCTTACTAAAAGATACAAAGCGAATAAGCAACAGAAAGTAAATAGTAAGATACAAAGCAAATAAGCAACAAGCAACAGATGGTAAAACATGTCAAAGAATAAGAAGCTATGTGAATACTAAATAATAATACTACCGAGTACGAAGAAGTGTGGAGGAGGCTAGTCCCCTCCCTATCCCACCTAAAGTACAACACCAATCAGCTACCTACTACATTTCTACCCTAATCCTCGATCTCCATACCTTCTATTCTATACCTTCCTATCTAGGATCATGTCCTCAGTAAACTGAAGTTGTGTCCTGTCATGTCTAATTACCTCCTACAATTCTTCTTTGGCCTATCTCTACCTCTCCTAACCCATCCGATAGCCCAACCCCTTATATCTCCTTATTGGTGCATCCACACATCACCTCTTCACATGCCCAAACCATTTTAGCCTTGCTTCCCTCATCTTGTCCACCACATCACAAAAGCCACTCTCACCTTATCCCATATTACTTCATTCCTAAATCATATCTCTCCTAGTATGCTCACACATCCATCTAAGCATCCTCATCTCTACTACATTGTACTTCTAGACGTGGGCGTACTTGACTAGCCAGCACTTTGCCCCATACAACAAAGTTGGTCTAACCGTCTGTAGAAATAATCAGAGCTGCAGTCCAGAACTATAGCCAGTCCCAAACCAAGATAAAGTAGTACCACTGTAGTGCGTCAACAGCTAGCTTAAAATAGTCAAATTACCATGAATCAACTGGATTTACTCGGTGATTAAAAGTAAAAACGATTTAAACATAGTACAAAAATACATACCAGTTGTAAAGCAGAAATCGAACCCAGCTCGCTCAACAAGCTTAGCACTGAGAGCATCGAAACAAGCTGGTCCTTGATGAACTCCCGGCGATTTTAATAGTTTCCGGAGTGCCTTCGCCGGAGAAGTATACTCATTAGAGTTAACTGAACCCAATTCCTTATCACCATAGCTAGCAGATACAGTGTAGCGAATAGAGGTTTTCCTTCCAGCTTTGCTACTGCTGCTACCTACTCTTTCCGGCAATGAAGAAGCACTTTTAGGGAGCGTCTCGGCTACGCGCCGATGAGCTAAGTATGCAGTTCGGCGTGACGGAAGATTCGAGAAAGTTCTGAAATCTGTGCTGGAAATTGATGCGGAATTCATTGTTGTTACGAGTTTTTCCTCTGAAACTCTATTTGTCAATCACAGCTACAACAGCATGTTTAGATGGATATTAGTTTAAGAAAATATGTTGCAAATTATTGTTACTTATAAATTTAAAAGTTTATTAAACATATTGTTAATGTGTAACAAATGAGTGTTGTGGTGATTTGGCTAAAAATTGATTCAAATAGAAAATTAAGTTAAAAGATTAAACAAATTGACATTTTGTTTGGTTTAATTTTATTAAAAATTACTCATGAAGAATTAATTCAAATAACGTAACTAACTCGTGAAATGGAGATGAAAGGGAGAATTGATGCATCTATAAGAAATAAAGTTTTAAGGGGTCGTTTGGTAGAGTGTATAAGAATAATGCAAAATAGGGTGTATTAGTAATGCTTGCATTAGTAGTGCTTGCATTAGTAATGCTTGCATTAGTTATGTCTGCATTATTTCTTATACACTGTTTGGTTTGATGTATTAGAAATAACAAATTTTGCATAATGTCTATTAAAAAGATGTATGTTTACAAAAATACCCTTCACACTTTATTTCTTTGTACACTTCCTTTGCAACAAGGTTCTTTGCTAAAACATTATTTACTCCTATTCTTTTCTTTTTTTCAAATATAAAATTAAATAGTTGTTACTATATTGAAATAAGATTAAAAAAAGAAGAAGAAGAAGATGTCAGCTCCATTATTAGTAGATTTCCAAAATGAATTTCATCAATGAGGTCAATTTTTTTTTTTGGTAACAAAACGTGGAAAAAATTCAGTATCTGCTAATGGATAACCAAGTATCTGCTCTTCATCAAAACAAAAAAACAACCAATTATCTGTTAATAGATAACCAAGGATCATAGTCCACATTATTATCAAGACCTCAATTCCATAAATACATCAACTTGCTGCGCAAGCAGTTGCAAGAGATCAAACTACGCCTAGCTACACTTTTATTGCTTGATACTCTCCTTATCCATCATGTACACTCTAGAAATGTAAATTATTTCCATTACCACAAAATACCAATACAAATAAAGAGTACCCATTTCTGATATCAGAAACTAGGCCTCCAACAAACAAGAAAACTAACTACTAAGTAATCGAATAAACCGTTTACATTTTTGTGCTTTCCTTGAACTACTGAAGAACTGTACTCTCTCTATAATCTCTTTTTTTATCTGAGCTACTGCCTCCTCTGTATGTACATGCTTCCCTTTAAATTTTTTCCAATTTCTTGCACGCCATGTGTGGTAGAGAATAGCCCCACATATAGCTGCAAATGTCTCTTTTTGAAACTGTTTCCAATGCTTCCTTTTTGTTCTCTCCAAAACTTGTTTAATCCCATTGTTTGTCATTGTTATGCCTGTCCACTGTGTTATCCCCTGCCATACATCTTTTATCCATTTAAATTCACATATCACAAAAATAATAATTGCAAATCTCTTTTTGTAACTAAACACTCGTAATAGTTTCACATAAATTGGGACATAGTAAATATTTGAGACGTACGAACAAGATCATCTACATCTTATTAAAAAATGAAAAATTACAAATGACAATTCGAATTTGTACGGCAGAATTGTCATAAAGCCTTGGCGACAGAAGCACCAAAGTGATTCTGCTTATTTCCTTGTGGAACAACCCATTTATAATCAGCATGATGATGCCTGCACCTAAACGAGCCTGGATGGATTGTTGGTGAACAAATACACTGCTTCCCCATTCCAGCACCAACAACTACTCCTCTGCTTCCAGTTGATGATTCTGCAGTTGCCTGTAGAGGAACTTGTTCCCTTGCAATACCAGCCATGTATCTGTTCCTTTATTGCATTAAGCTTCCTCCAATACCAACTACTATCAATAGGTGCCCTGTGACTCCATATCGAGGTTTCCTCTCTAAGATAAATTCCATGTACCCATTTTTACCCACAAGGTTTCCTTATTCATTACAATCTACCATATTAATTGTCCCACTGATGCAATGTTCCAGCTGCTACTGCCAGAATCATTTACTTTTTTTTCTTAAATTTAGAAAGGAGGTGGCAAGAAAAGAGAGCTCGTAACTCCCTTCCCCCAAAACAGAAAAAAACAAAAGAGGATCAACCAATCAATGATTAGCTGGATCTCAATACCAAGTGAGCATCACAGCAACTATGAACCATCAACTCATAGAGAAATTAACAAAGGAAAACAGAAACAAGACAGAGAAATATAGGACAGATTAAAGAACTGTCATAGCAGCTATATAATTGCATTTCAGAATCTCAAAATTAAATAGCTACACGAGAATTTGAAGAGCTGTAACGACAACTATTTAATTACATCTACACTTAGCATTGACACAAGAGTTGAGATATTTTGATAAAACTTAGTTACACAAAAAGATTTAACATGCTCATGCGCACATTAATAATCGAAGATGTCAAAATATGCCACTGTTGTCACACTTCGAAGTGATTTCAAGCAAAAATTACTAAACTAGTGTAGCCACTTATATCACAAGTTCACCGTACTTCAAAGTTTATCATGGACAGCCATCCACATCATTGTCTGACGATCATGTTCACCCATACGTAAAAATAATTCCATCTTTTTGTCGTCTTTACAGAGAATCATTGCAGCTTTTATACGTTGCTCTGTGGTGTACAACTCAAATACAGGGGATTCAAGGATAGCATAAACTTGACCACGAACATCAGCTCGATCACAATCCCCCATCTTTTCAATCAAGGAACCAATTCTTTTGTCTTGACTTTCAGTAAAGTTTTTCATAACTTCCATCATACCCTTAAGAAATGTCTCACTATCATCCTCTACTATTTTTTTCCTTTTCTTGCTTTTCTCTTTCTCGTTAACATTAGAAGATGATCTTTTAGAATACTCACCTTGTTTATGACTTTTTCGGGATCCAGCATGTTCATTTTCAGAACCAGCAACATTTTCTCCTTCATTAAATACGCTAGGTCCAGTGACATTTTCAGCTCTAGTAAATGAACTAGGTTCGGTGAAATCTTCAGCTGTAGCAAATCCACCTTGTCCAGTGGCATTTTCAGCTTCTTCAGTACCAACTTTAGAGTTATAGTAAGCATTTTCTTCTTCTTCTTCATCATCATCAAGATCAACATCAATAGGAAATCCCAAACTCATGTCATTAGAATGTTGTGGAGCTTGACTCTTTTGAATTTCTTCAGTAGCATCTAGCGGCCCTTCAGCGAACTCTCCTGTTGCTCTATCCTTACCAAAGATTTCTTCCCAATCCTCAAATAGTGGCCATTTCTTAGTATTCATTTTCTTGGCTTGTGGATCAATCTAGAAAATTAAAAAATAAAATAGAACAATATGATATTAATTAACTGTAAAAGGATCTAAAGAGAGGCTAGATGCTACTATATATGTGATGATAACAATTTACTTGATCACTAGTTTAAAGGCACATCAACTATGAATAATTAAAGGAACTAATAAGGAAAGTACCATATGAAATAACAAAAATATATTAATTACCTTTATAAAGTCAATCCAATGTTTTAGATCGTCAACTATTATAGTTCCATCACTATATTGAAATCCCAAACCACTTCGAGTCTTCAACAAAGCTATACTTCCATAGCATCTTTTCCAATATCTCATTTTATTTTTGATGTGTGGTTCACCTTTCAATCCACTTGTAGGATGATATTTGTGTATATAACGTTCTAACTCCATCAAGTGTCCTGGTCTAAAGGTTCCATTATCACCTCTCCAACCATTAGCACACAACTCTTTAAGCCCGTCTAAAAGAGTTTGTTCTTCTTCTGGAATCCATGTCCTTCGTGTTGAAGGTGTTGTGTTGCTTGATTTTTTTGATTTCTTATTTGATGATGTTTGACTATTCATTTCGCCTGTAAGAACTTGTGCGACAGATTATCAAAAAAATCAGGAAGAACCAAATATCATAAGATTCACTATAAACTAAAGCATACAACAAAAGAAATGTGAATAGTACATAAGGGTGTGCAATTAAGGTCACAAAAAAAACAGAAGTTTCTGGCAGTTAAACAATTTATACTAGGCCAGTTCTAAAGAGCAAATGAAGTCCAAAAAGGTTCTATAGCTAACAAGTAGCAATATGTCAATTGTTATATCTTGCATTCCACATTGATTGAGCCAGCTCATCCCTCCAAGTGGTCCACTCCTCCGACGATTCAACAACATCAATATTCTCGTGTTGATACTCCATATGTTCTTCTATATCAATGTCTAAGGGATCTACTTCCATTTCTCTACAAATGAAATTATGAATCAAGCAGCAAGCACTAATGATCCTGTTATGAACCTTAACCGAGTACCATGAAGAACTTCTAAGAATTCCCCAACGTTCTTTCAACAAACCAAATGCCCTTTCAATTACATTACGAGCTCTAGCATGCCTCATGTTGAAAAGCTCTTCTTTACATTGAGGCGATGGATTATCGCCTCGCCAATCCTTTAACCAATATCTATAACCTCGATAAGGTGAAAGAAATCCTTTTCCATTCGTATATCCTCCATCACACAAATAATAGTTACCTATAATATAAACATATAATTTAGTTACTAGTACCATTCTTTCTATGATGTAACTTGAAAGCATATATAAGGCCTACCCTCATGAATTTTCAAACCATTCCTTCGTACTATAGCATCTCGTAATACACGAGCATCGGCAGCTGAACCTTCCCATCCAGGTAACACATAAGTAAAATTGAGATTCCTATCACAAACTCCCAAAACATTAGTTGCTATCTCTCTTTTTCTTGTTCTATATCTTGGTTTGTGTTGGATTGGAACTCTAATGGGAATGTAAGTACCGTCTAGTGCACCTAAACAACCCTTTAAGATACATTATAGTGTTATCTCAAAATATATAATATTTTTCTAAAACTGTTAAAACTGCATATTTTGTATACAAGTTAAAAGATGATAAACGACAGTTTCACCTACCTCAAACCATTTCCATCGATCTTCAATCTCATCCTCAAGTACTGGTTTAGGATTAATAAGTAGCAATGGAGTTAGTTTGAGAATAGCACTCAAGCATTCATTGAAAGCCTGACTTACGCTCCATCCCGATCTAATATAATCAACCTTGATTGATCTATTTTTCTCATGGTGAGCCAAGATATTTAAAAACATTGCTAATTTTTCGCTGCTTGACATACTTTTACTATCGGTCAAACCTCCAATATCCTTAGTTAAGAGAACTAAAGTGTGAAAGGCATTTCTATCCATTCTTAACTTATCGATACATACACTACCATTATCATTTATGATATAGTGTAAGTGAGAAATGATTTTCGGAACTCGAACACTTATACAATACCTAACCTCACGTCTGTTTCGACATCGTCTTTTTAGAGAATGACCATGACTAGCCATGAAAAGACAAATAAGGAGAACAAGAACTTGCTGAAACAATATCTCCACAAGAATAATATATTCAATACCTGATAATGGTTGAAGATCCATAATAACACCTATATTTGCCATAAAAATAAGAATGAATACATATAAAGCTTTTAAATAAGTATCTATGTGCATAAATTCCTAATTTTCGACCATATAAAGAGTGGAATAGATGAGCTCAAAGCATATTAAAAAAACAAGCTAAACCTAAATTTCATCTTAAATTGTGAAAGAGATGTTGAAAAATAGAGATTTTAATGAAAGATAAGAGTACTAACCTTGTAAAGATGAGCAAACAATGTTCGATTGAGCAAAGGGAAGAAGAAACCTAATCTTGAATTTCCATTGACAAAGTACAGAGAGATGAAAGGTTTCTGAAGCAAGTACTATGGAAAATGTTTTTTTAAAAGGCTTTGAGGGTACTTTTGTAATTATATAATATAATGCAAGTGTTAAAATGCTATGTATTACTAATACCTAGAATTTCTTGGTATTAGTAATATACAACTTAATACACAATATAGTGTATAACTAATGCAAGCATTAGTTATACATGACATAAAAAAGTGTACCAAACAAGGTATTACTAATACACACACCTAATGCATGCGTTATTTTTCCTAATACACTCTACCAAACGACCCCTAAGTATCTTGGGTTCCTATTCAAAGACACATATGGATTGATGATGTTGTCACATACTTGAATCGATGCAAGTTGGGTGAAATAAAGATTTGTCTCTAGGGTACTTTGTTTGTCACCAAGACTTAAAAGGTAAGTATAGTGGTGATTAGACCTACATTAATATAAAGATAGAACGGTGGTTAGACCAATATTATTATACGGAATAGAATAATGGTTAGACCAACAATATTGTACGAAATATAATGTTAGTTAGTAAAAAAAAAAAATTATGATCAGAAGATAAAGATAGTGAAGATGAAAATAATTGTGTGAATATATTCTACTATATTATAAAAGAGAGTTTAGACTCAAGTATAATATATAATATTCAAGATTGAGACTTTTCCCAATCTTCAATATTATATATTATACTTGTGGGACTTTTAAAAGGGAGTTTATGCCCAAGTATAATATATAATATTCAGAATTGGGACTTTCTTAAATATTATATATTATATTTATTATATAGTAGAACTTGGGCATAAACTCTCTTTTAAAATAATATATATATATAATATTGAGAATAAACTTTTTCAGTACTATGTAGCAAACTAATAATAATAATATTTGTGCCAATAAAGAGAAATAAAGTGATAATGTATGATTTTGTTTAAATTTGTTAAAGTTAGGGGAGATTTATATAGGTATCTTTTAAATTTTTGTATATTCTAATAATCTTAAATTTACTTATCTATCTTCTTTTTTAACATATCTTACTTAATATAGAATTCACTAATTGAAGGATTGAATTATTTTAAAAAATTAATGCAAGAAATGATTCCCCACCCCCCCCCCCCACTCCCCATCCCCCCTTTTTCCCATTATATCAAACATTTTACAATAGATAATTCGATTTATCAAACCTATCACAATATTGGTGGTGCTTGGTCCGTGCTGAGCCCGGACTCAATATTCTAATCGTAAAACCAAAAAGTTAATGAAGATTCATATTTTCAAACTTTGATCGTAAACTCGAATGTAAATTTTTTATATTTCATGAGATATAATTTATATAAAAAATTACATACAAATTACTATAAAACACAATAATTAACAACTTATATAATTTAAAATACATAAAAAATGTTCCAATAAAAACTTCATGAACTCTTAAAATTTCAATCATGTCACATAAATTAGGACAAAAAAATACGTATATAACAATTAAGGTATTTGTCACTAAAATAAGCATTATTATAAAAAGACATGAAAACATTTTATTTATCAAAATTTACAAGATAATTTTTTTGTAATGAAAATAAAGGACAAAATATAAGCTACAAAAGTAGAATTCCACGTGGCATTTACCGGCAATGCAGAAGGGACATAAGGGTAAGTAAGTACATAAAGGGTAAATCGCATTTGACGAGTGCGAATTATATGTAATATACGTACAACTTATTGAGGATATGATCCTAAATAAAATTATATAAAAGTTGATAATTAGGGTAGAACGCTAATAGTAGGTGATCGAAAATTGTTTAGTTTTTCTTGTAGTTTTCGATTTTATAATTACCTGTTATTTTTTTATTTCGTTTATCATAGTAAGCACTTTTTTTTCTCTACTATTTTCTACTCCCTATATTTTAGTTTCTTTGTCAGATTTTAACTTGACACGAAATTTTAGAAAGTAAAAAAATTTTGAATCTTATGATCTTAAATTATAGACATGTAAAATATATCAAAGTATGATTTAATTTTGGAGTTTAAAAGGGAGTTTTATAATATGGTAGTATATGTCACAAATGGAAAAGTCTCAATCTAGGAAGCAACATATATCATTTACAAATGACTTAAAAAACATTAAAAATTACAATAATTACCAATTTAAAATATTTAAAAGCTATATAATAAAATAGGTTGACTCTCAGAATTCTATCAGGCTTACATATATTGGGATAGAAAAAATAACACATACCATTTTAAAATTACCAAAAAAGTATTATAAATAATAATAATTAACAACTTAAAATATCTGAAAGACATTTTAAAAGGGTTAATTTGTAATTTTATCATATCACATAAATTAGGACAAAGTGACCAGTAATGTACGTTATTTCAAAGTTACATAAAAATATTATAAATCACAATAATTAATAACTTAAAACATTTTTTTTAAAAATATGAAAATTTGGATGACTCTCTAAATTTTATTTGTGTCACATAAATTGAGACAACAAAAATAACATATATTGGGTCCATTTTAATTTATTTGTCTTTTTTTTTTGTTTTTTTTTATATTTAAAAATTGCGTAAAAATATTATAAATCATGATAATTGACAACAAAAAATATGTTTTGAAAAAAATACAAAAAATTCCACTGATTCTTGAAGTGAATCTATCGTAAAAATACTATAAATTATGATAATTGACAACATAAAATATTTCAAAAATCTTGTATGTGGTAGTCTTATTATGCCTTAAATAGCGTCAAAGAAAGTACAGGTTTGTGATAAAAAAACTTATTCCTTTATCCACGCAAACAATCGCTTCAAAAACTCGGTTATTAACCCCAAAACATACCATTTATATTATTGGGCCCTTGCATAGCACGGACAACATTATCTAGTTATAGAAAATATAGCTTAGAATAAAATTATTTGTAGCAAGGTGGAAAGTGCACTGTATTGAATGAGATGAAAAAGTGAGGTTACAATTATGGGTGTTCATGGTTCGGTCTTGATCGATTATTGATTAAAATCAAAATTAAATCAATTTAGTCGATTTTTAAATTTCTAAAATCAAACCAAACAAAATGAAAAAAATAACTGTCAGTTTAGTTATTGTCGGTTTGGTTCGTTTTTTTTTATTTTTTCGATTTGAATGTAATAAATTTTTTTTAAGACATACGTATCTCGATAGACACAAACACTTACCACATGAAAGCTATTGTGGATTCAATTAAGCAATGTTAGAATTATTATTATACAAACAAAGTGATTCAATTAAGATTAAGTAGGGTCGATAAAATTTAAAGTAATGAATTTTGAATAATAGTAAGTATATATATATTTTTTTTTTTGGAGAAGGATGTCTCTTGACTCTTGATAGAGTATCCAGAACCGGCGCCACTCACTGGAGAGGCAGAGCAAATTTGCAATGGCTCTTTCATTAGCTAAATCCACTTTGTTCTCTAATCCCACTTCATATTTTCCCAAGAATGGCATTCGAAGCTTTGGATATCTTGTTCCTTTCTCCTCTTTCTCTACTTCTTCTCCGTTTCTTGCAGTAGATGGAGTCCATGGTCACAAGAAGAGGCAATCATCAGTGGTAGCCTCTGCTCTCGAGCTTGGTGGAGTCAAGATTTCAAAAGATGGTCAGTTTACTTATGTTTTTCTTTTTCTATGTGTATTTGGCTTTGGTTTTCATTTTACATGATGTGGGGTTTGTAAAGTTAGAGTTTTTATGACTGTAGAATGTTGAATTTTCATCTGGGTCGGTCTAATTGGGTCAAAATGGAGAAGAATTGATATTGAGGATTTGGATAGTGTACTTTGGACTAAGTAGCTTAGTGTAATAGCTTTTGGGTTGTTTATGAAATGGTATTTTGTAGTTACCTCCCCATTGGAGGCTATTAAAGTTTGCATTTTTATGATTGTGAATCGAAATTTATCCTCTAATTATGGGTCCAAATGAAGCAGAATTGATATTGAGGATTTATACAGTTGACCTTAAACTCAGCCGTTTAGTGTAATAGCTTTTGGATCGTTTATGAAATGGTATTTTGTAGTTACTTCCCCATTGGAGACTATCAAAGTTTGCATTTGTATGATTGTGGAATTGAATTTCTCCTCTAATTATGGGTCCAAATGACGCAGAATTGATATTGAGGATTTGTATTGCCGTCTTTGAACTATTTTGGGATTGAGACGTAGTTGCCCCTCGGTCGTTTATGAAATGGTATTTATAGTTACCTCCCCATTGGAGACTACTAAAGTTTGCATTTTTATGATTGTGGACTTGAATTTCTCTTCTAATTATGGGTCCAAATGAAGCAGAATTGAGATTGAGGATTTGTATAGCAGTCTTTGAACTGATTTGGGATTTTTTTTTTGACAAAGGTAACAAGTTTGTATATAAATCTTCAGCACTAAGGCTGTGATCCCAAGAATTTACATCACAAAGCTACATACAACTGAGT